TTTTGTGTTCCCCCCCCCCATCCAGCTTTAGCTTTGCTTTAGCTGTTTTCCTCTACCAAATCTCATAGTGAAAATAATGATACTGATGTCTTTGGGGGAATGCAACTCAAGCAAGGATCACAGAACATGGCAGTTCATAAAAAACGTATTTCTAAATTTAACTTTACCTTGATTTGGGCTTTGCTAAACTACCTTTCCTGGTGGATACAGACAGAAAAGTACAGATTTTTTTCCTGGAAAAAGAGTGCAATGGCATTATGCATTTATATTATTACCACTACACCTTTTTCATACAGGTAGTCCTACCAGAATATCTGATTACATAAATAAAAAAATATGCATTTAGATTAGGCCTTGATGTTACCTTTGGTGCTTCACAATCCTTTCAGCAATGATCTATGTTTTCTCCTTAAAAATAACGTAGCTTTAATTATATTTTAATTACCTTTTCAGCTTAAAAATCTCCCAACTTTTCTACACAAGTAAAAGCTTTGACTAGTAGAACGTACATAGGCTGATTACATAAATAAAAAAATATGCATTTAGATTAGGCCTTGATGTTACCTTTGGTGCTTCACAATCCTTTCAGCAATGATCTATGTTTTCTCCTTAAAAATAACGTAGCTTTAATTATATTTTAATTACCTTTTCAGCTTAAAAATCTCCCAACTTTTCTACACAAGTAAAAGCTTTGACTAGTAGAACGTACATAGGAGATTTCTCAACATGTTTTTGACTTCTATATTAGATTCAAATTCAATACTGCACAGGCAACCAAACTGTTAATTATCAAAAGTAGATGTGTAAATGACATGCAAAGATGTCTGTTGCATGGACATTAGTAACAAATAATTACTAAGGTTATTGTAAATTCTGATCATACAATTCTGTATTCTTTCATCACACAGTTTGTTATGAAAACTTCCATTTGCATTTGTTTCACATGCATTTATCAGAATGTCTTATAAAATCTAGTAATTTTGAATGGTAATACTTATATAATATTAATTTTTAATTTCACCAGTTAAGACTATGCTTTTTTTTTTCTGGTCAGTTATGTGAGTAGAATGCATTCAAATGTTTACAGGGTCGGTTCTTCCGTTTTCACTTGTTTTCACCTCAGACTTTTTCCCACTAAGCACACTGTAAGTTATTAAATAAATTCTTCATACACTCAACAACCATTTCCTAGGAACAGGATATAAACTAGCTTATCAGCTAGTGAGGCTTTGATACAAACTGGTCTGGGGCCACACTTGTGAACCGGATCTCCAACTACTTTGATTCTCTATAGGATATATAGCCATACCCCAAAACCACCAAGCAAACAGGAAAAACCTCTTAATCTCTTAACATGAAGTGGACTGAAAGACAACTGTTGGTCAATATTAAGGCAGTTGTGGAGAATGTAGCAAGGAAAAGCTTGGGCTAAACCTTTCACTTACAATACCTAATACAGAATAAATAGGGGGTTACTCTCCAAGGATCAAAATGCAGATAGCTCTCTCTTTTATTTATTCCACACCCTGGCAGGCTCCTGTTGCTTTTACTGGGTGTTGACCTGAATCAAAAGTGAAAAGGAGCTCAGCTTTTGAGCAGTAAGAAACTCTGAGCTAAACTCACAGAAATATTATAGACAAATAGCTTCTCCCTGTACTTAGTTGCCTGCTAGCTTTTATTATCAGATTTTTATGGGTTAAAAGCTTTCCAGAAAAATGCTTCCACAGCTTCTTCATACCTACTCTTTCCTTTTACCGAACATACTTTGAAAGGTAAACCCCCCTGTATTTATACTTCTATAACATGTCATTATTATAATTTCCTGAGCTCTGACACTTTGTTAGGTACTGGAAGAAACATAAAAGAAGGTATATCAGTGCTGTCTTAGATGTCTTACACTCCCCACTATGAATCCCATGTTCCTGCTGGGGAGTAAACTCAGATTATTCCTTCAGAGAGATATCTTGGAAAAGCACTGGCTACCATAGGCGAAGTATACAAGATATGGTCTTGTATTACATTGTTTTGCTCTAGTGGCGAAAGTTTGAAATACTTTTAATATCTGAATGAAGCTTTACATAAGCTTTAATGAAAAGGGACTAAGAAAGTCCTGAACGCAAAACATGAGACAGTGACAGAGAAGACACAGAACAAGGAAAAGAGGACTTGTTCAAAAGGCTGCAGAGGCAGACTAGGGGCCAGCAAAGGAAGAAATGAAAACAAAGAAGTTTGTCAAGAACAGATAAAATATCTCAGTGGAAAAGGGTGACTACTAGAAGGCAGTGAAAGGTGATGCATGACAAAAATTGGCAGGAAAATACTACCACTAGAATGACAACCTTTCTTCAGAGAAAATACTAAGACTTGTAGGAACATATTTTATACTGAAATGGTTCAGCAACATGGTAAAAAGCAGTGAAATGAATTTGAGAAAACAGTGGAACTGAAGGACAGAAATAGAATGTAATTAGAGGAGTCCACGGAACAAAGAGCAGTCCAGACACTGGAGAGAAAAAGAATAGAAAAAAGTGAAATGACTGAGGATGAGAAGCAAAGGAAAGAGTGGAATGGAGAAATTTACAAAGTGAGCAACAGAAAAGAGAGGAACAAAAAATCTCAAAGCAGATTCTAAGAAAAAATAGGTAACATGCAAAACTTGCTTACTTTTTCTGTTTCAACATAAAATTAAATTTTTTCTGAGCTTGAAATGAAATGTTTAGGCACATCTAGCACTTTAATTTCAAACTAAATGTGAAAGCTTTTCATGTCACTGAATGAAAGACATAACTTTTAGCCTAAAAAAATTGTGCTGATGCTCTGTTGTTGTTGTTCCTCTTTTGATTCTTTTACCAATTTAATAACGTCAAATTCAAAATGATAAGGCAATACAAATCTTAAAATACAATGTTGCTACAATATGCCTGAAAAGAGACACCCACATTAACATTACTACTGTAAGAAAGACTTTAGTAACTTATTCTTGTTGGTCTATCAGTTAGATAGCCAACACATTAACATTGATGAGTTAATGAGTACATTCATAAACTTTGGACTGTCCACAACACTTGCTGCTACATGCCCAGCCACATAAAATTTTTAAATACAGAGACATAAATTTGTAAATTTGCAAGAAATCTGGTTTTATTAGTTCTTCTGCTCATAGGGAAATTGTTGGGAGTGGGATTTAAAAGGCTTGCTAAAATAATAGAATATGTGGAAGTCTGCTTTGTAGAGGATAGGTTGTACGAAATGCCTAAAATCTTAATGTCTCAAGAAGCTATACATAAGGCAAAGAGCTTCAACAAATTTACTAACAGGATATGCATATTGTAGAGTATTGATAAATAAATCAATAGGAAATTGGGAAAAGAAGTCTCTCAGCAGGCATCAAATCAACACCACTGTTCATCAATACCACTGAGTGGCAATAAGCTTTGTAATTTATTTCATCCTTTCCAATTACTTGCTGTATGACTTTTAACAACTAATTTAATTAGTCTATTTTTGCATTGAGAGAATTTAGGTAATTATACTAACTTAACAACCTTCCCAGAGTGGGAGGATTAATTTCTTCTATTAATTTGGGGTTTGATTTAGAGCATAACATCTTCACTGCTGAGCACCTTTGGAGGTATGCTCTATATGGAAGCTGACAAAATTATAGCTGAGGCAATCTATAATTCTAGGCAATATTCAAAATGTTTTAAGATCCTGTAAATACAGGTACAGAAAGATTTGGCTCCATTCAGGAAATACTCAGCAAACTGTATAAATAGATTTGTATTATTATTTATATTTATTTCACATTCCTAACCCTGGTGTTTCAATAAACATTAAATGTCTATCACCCATGTTTTCTGATCTTTTCTAAACCGTCTGTGCCTTTCAACATTGAAGTCCTGCTTATTTTGTTTTCCTGTTGACTCTATTTTCCCGTCTCATTTACAAGAGCCTCTTTTAATCACCTTAAAAATGTTCAAATAACCAGCTTCCATGGCTGGCTTACCAATATCTAAGAAGCCAGAACTAGAGGATGTGGTATGCTGTAATCCTTGTAATTCCTATTCCTCAGTTTTTGGATGACAAAAGCAAGACTGATTTTCAAATACGCTAAGCATTTGTAGCTCCAGTGAACAGGGAGTAGTAGCTCTCAGCCTTACTAACTGAAGGTATTCCAAAATGAAGTTCACAAAAATCAGTGATCTTAGGAATTTGCTTTGAAAGGGGCAGCACAGTAAGCTATGTAAGCTATATCAACATAGCCCTGGAATGAGAGGGACCTGTCTTACAGCTTACTTCTCTCAGAATTAACACATATGTTTTGACAATGTTCAGTGTGATTTTAAGGCTTTCTAAAAGGTCCGCTCTTGACAAAGATTTTCAAAGAATCTCCATCTCTTCCTCTTCATTTTCCTTACTTCCAGAACTTTAAGAGGAGATGATATTTTTCTCTTGAGAGTTTATTAATTTATACCTTATAATGCCTAAAGAGGTTTGCTACCTTGCAAACAGCATGGAACACTCATTTCCCTGGAACTGAGCTCAGCCTGTTCCCCAGGTATATCCTTTGCAGTTCCAGCTCCTCACAGTCATAAGATGAGGGTTTAACCTTGAATACAGATTCTATTTCTACCTATTTTCAATAAAAGTTGCCATTTATCTTTCTTAATTTTCATGTTCTTTACTTTCATACACAATATAAGTAATCATTTCAAAAGCTGTTTCACTGCTCAAAACACACTTTCTTCAATATTCAGGTTCTTAAAACAACACTATCCTCTTTCTTTTCCATGTCACCTTCTGAATGCCATAGATACATTTGTAATCTCCCTGCAGACATTCTCCCTGTAGACCTTTAGATATTCTAAAATTAATTCCTCTTGCACAGACCAAAGAAAATAATTCTGTCCCATCCAAGTTGGCAGTGCCATAATAGTCTGCAACAATACAGAAAACGGCAATCTTGACATAAGATACTTTGAAAGAAATTCTGGGCTTACCTGCAATGTACGACCATAGGTCCAGCATCAGGTGGGTTGCAGGTCTTGACTCGTCGCAGGAAAGCTAAGAATGGTGTTGGGTGTTCTGGGACACCGTGGTCAGGCCAGGCAGTGAACTGGAATTGCCTCACTTCCCTTTTCTCACTTGAACCATTCTATGAAATTAAAAAACTTCATGACAAAACTGCCACTTGATGTGATATTGGCACTTTTCAATGAAACAATTGCAGAAACATATATACCAGCGAAGTGTATTTAAATCACATTTGGGGCCAGAGAGAAACGGAACTTAGGCTATGGAGGGAAATGTTTCTTGTATTCTAAATTGCAGGATTCAAACAATGTAAGAGCTTTAACTATACTGCACAGTAATGCATCACAACAAATGCCAGACCTTTAGCTAGTATTTCATTCAGTTAAATGGTTTTTCATAGCGAGAGCTCTGTATTAACCTAGAAGACTCCATGCTGTAAGAAAAATACACTCTGTCTGTAGAAGAAGTTTCACTGTTCAGTACTGCTAGCAGGAAACGTGGGAGGAAAGTGGAAGGAGGGAAAGGGAAGAAAGGGAGTGCAGAAATAAGGAAGAAAGGCAGGGAAGGCAGGAAGCAAAAGGAAGGCAGACAGGAAGGCAGGAAGGAAGGGAGGGAGGAAGGAAGGGAGGAAGGAAGGGAAGGAGGGGAAAAGGAGAGGAGAGAAAAAGGAAAAGGAAGTTAAAAAGAAAATGAAAAGGAAATGAAAGGATAAAAGTTGCCTACATTTAAATTTTAAAGTCTATTGTAAGTATATATAAGTATATATACCTTGTAAAGTGCAAATGTACGAACACAGTACGTTGCCAATTCAACAGTGTCTAAAAGGGTCACTTGGATTAGTCCGTAAGTTTCTGTGCCTCTGCTTGGCCAGTATTGATCACACTTCACCTGTAGTGAAAAATATGTAATTATTTAATATATTTAAAACTGACATTTATTACATATCTGAGTGTATATCACTGTAGGTTTTTAAAGTATGTGGAGATAGAATGTTCAACAACTGCTAAGGATCCAACAGAAGAAATTTATTTTATCATCATTGCTTTTCTGGTAGTAGCTCTTACAATATCTTCTTCCATAATGGGTATTTGAAAATTCAGTGGGGCAGATGATTAAGAAATACCAATAAGTATAGACACACTAAAGAAAAAACATTTTATAGTAGCTAAAAGTATGCCCTATATCTTCAGTAACTCACCTTTCACAGTCCAGAATTTAGTAACAGTACTAATCCAGTAAAGGTAGACACACAATTTTTCAAATATTTGCCATATTTCACCTATTTCACATTAGTCCTCAAACATATAAACTGTTGCTTGGATGCTAATATTTAGTATGTATAGAAATATCTCAGTAAAAACCTGATTTTTTTTAGAAATAATTTTAGTACACGGATAAATGAAAGAGCACCAACAACTATTAAGTGCACTGTGAGAAAAAACAATTTCCTTCTCAGATCAGTGTTACGAAGCATATAACGAAATTGTGTTCATAGGCATTTAAAAAACATGGTTTGACAGAGAGAGTTCATCCATCAAATTTTAAAAGGCACAGGACATTTAATTCAGAGACATCTCCGTTTCAAAACACCATAGTTCAGAATATTAACGAGCTGATATAATTCCGTATAAGATGATAAGAGAACCGTGTTTATCATCATTGCTGAGGCTCAATAATTTGTTTCAGTTAAAAATGGTATTTATGATGAAAGCTATTATGAAAAAAGAAATGCTGAACCCCTAAAACAATCAGAAACATGGTACAAAGTAGTATGGGGGTTAAATAATTGAAAATATTTTGCTTTCAGTGACTGATAGGTGAAACTGAGATGGTCAGTCTCCGTTCTATTTATAACAATACATTCTTATCAATTAGCCTTGCATACGGTGCAGAAGTGTATTCTGAATCCAATAATAATATATTGCATTTTTTTAATAAATGTCTTCACTAATTACTCTAAGCCAGACTCATACCAAATTCATTGAGAACACACAAACTGTAAGAAACAACAAAAGCAGAATATTGCACAGTATTTCTGATAAAATGTTAATTATCATGCTAATCCAAGAGAAAAACTGATGATTCCCCCAAAGTGGAAAATGCATCTTTGAAACTCATGTGTTCTCCAGGTTTCTCACTCTGCACAGTACTTATTGAAAAAGACTTAGTATGCTCTCAAACTCCCCAGTCCTGAATAGCTTTTGTTTGCAGATAATTTTATTTTGAGGCTCACAGTTCACAAATCATAGTCTGAGAACAAGGAATCTAGATAAAGAGGAGAAAAAATTCTAACCACTGAAGCAGGTGATGAACATTCATTAGAGGCAAAAAAACCTGAAACAATTTTTTACGGGAATTGATAGCTTAATTTATAGATAAGGAATTGGAACAAAGTAACTGAAAATGTTTATTGATACTACAGTCTTAAAGATGGGATTAATAGTGTATAAAATCCTCTTATTAAGAGGAATTACGTAATTGCTTCCTTGTGCCATTTACTGAAATAATGAAAGAGTAAGTATTGCAGGTACTTCATGAATATCAGTGATTTACTTGCAAGATTCCTAATACTAAAAGAAGGCACCGTGGCCTTCTGCAAATCAGATAGAAAGGTATATTTTCAATTGAGTTATTTCAAGCAATTATAGTAAATCTAGTTTCACTTTCATTAATATAGACACAGTATAACTTGTGTCTATATAGGTTAGCTGTATTTACCTCTGACTAACCTGTTTGGTTTGAATGATCTTTTAAAAAAATGAATAAAAATGGTAGAATACTTTATGTATTTTTAATAAAATGAGTACAAGAAATAAATATCTGCTATGCCTTTGCTTGCTTAAACATGCAGTTCTCCTCTTTACCCTGCAGTTCCCACATATAAATTGTACGCTCGTAGAAGCAGTGCCAGCTTCCAGAAAGCATGCCTGAAAAATTAACCAGCTTTCTCACTAGAAAGACTTTATAAAAGCAACTTCCAAATGTAATAGAGAGAAATAAATGTTCAACACAAAAATGAAATTGAAATTCAGAACATAGTAGGTTACCAGCATCTTTGCAAACAACAGAAAATACTTGGTTTATTTTTATTTTGTATAGTAATCTAATGTTAAGCATATACTCAGATTTAGAAGCCTGTAGACAATTGCTCTTTTTCAGTTAGGCTGGGAGAAAATAAATGTGCCTGCTCTTTTAGGTGCAGATTTTAGGGGTTTTTTTCATTTATTACTTTATCTAACAAAAACTCCAATAATTTTAAAATTTTTCTAAGATACTTCCTGTGAGAGCTAGCTGATGCAGAGGACTGCTGCTGAAAGCAGACACTAACTGTTCAAAAATAAATACAATTTGTAGACCAGTGTATATACTATATGAAAGAGGAAACTGATGAAAATAAGTATCAAATTTTTAGAGAGAAAACCTGATTTCGGATTGATGTGGATTTGACCTTCTGGAAGAGCACATGAAGCATAAGCTGATGGAACTATATCTTTTATTTCTTTTGCCTCTTTATTTTTCTCAGAACAAGAGGTCTTCTTCAGAGATGTGCCCTTACCTGCCTCCTACACTCTTTTGCTCTGTGATCATAAACCTTACATTCCCAATACTCCTAACAATTTAGAGTCCAATTTATCTTTGTGAGAGATCAGAACAATGTTTTCTATTGGACTTCACCAGCAGCAGAGAATCAAATAATATAAGTTAATTGTTAAGACACTATTTTCTGAGACAGAGTTCTTGTTAAATGTTTTATCCTATGTTAAGATCCCAGCCTTCAGCACTTAAAGTAAGTTTATTTTTCAGAGGTTACCTATTAATGTTTTTTTCAGAAAAAAATTCTCAAACCCCTTGAGTCATCCAAAATTTAACACTAAATGTCAACAAGTCAATTTTGAAAGTATTTGCCAAATGTTTTTTTGCTTTAGGTCTTTGGTCTCTGTTTAATTTCTCTGCAGTAAGGGAAATTTCTTCCTCGCTTGTGTACATTGTTTGGAAAACAGACAACTTTAATGTGGCAAAGTATGGTGATGATAACATGTGTCCTCCTTCAGAAATACAATTACAGGGTTTCTTTATTTTCAGAGTTAGTTCGTAATATACCTGGTGAATTTCATAGTCCTCATCTTCCTCTTATCCACCCAGCTCCCAGTTCCAAGGGTTGATCTTTTCCTCTGCAGACTATATTCACCTGCACCCAATGAGAGCTTTTCTGTGCCACTAAGTGTACATGGTTACAGAAAACAGCTTTCACCAATAATTCTCTAATGTTCTCTTGCGTGTCACAAAAGGTGGCAAGATGAACGAAACAGACACAGGAGCATAGAAGAACTCACTGGTGATTTCAAAGACTATTTTTTTAAAGAGAAATTCAATTACAAGTAATGACAAGCATTTTACTACTACTTTCACTATTTCATGATCATAGGTTGCACACTACCAAAACCACTACATCTGAGATCAGAGCAGCTCTCAAAAGACTACTAAATATATTATGAAATCTTTTAAGTACTATAGTAGTAGACATAGCTAGAAGACATAACTAATGATAGGCACATTCTCTTAACCTGCCCCTCAAACATACACATTTTCTTTCTCTACATTTCTTCCACTCAGACCATGCAAATCCTTGCTCTTCGTGGAAGTACGAGCATTCGCTGAAAGCAAAGCTGTAAGAAAATGTAAATGCTTTCTTTTCCATTAAAAATGAGAAGCTTAAGACCATTTCAGACTTGAGGGGTTTAAGTAGCTACAGAGTTCCTAAGAATATTTGTGGATATTCACACTTCAACAAGTCACAGACACTAGAGAAGGCGCTACCATGCATCAACGGAGCTGAAGGAAGTGTATTTCCATATGAACATATGAATACAAAGATTCCTGACATTCAAGGGTAGAGAAATAATTTTCCAGTATAAAGTTCCATCATTCAGGCTGAAAAGCCCCTTCAGGTGATTCTTAACACGAGCCAGCTGTTACAGGCCATCTCAGATTATAAGGACAAAATGCAGATCAAGAAAGAGACAGCAAACTAGTAACAGGCAGATTCATATAGTACATTACTTGCTATAAGAACAGCATATGAATTGTGCTGAATCTGGAATAGGAAATAACAGCAGCATGTAATATACCTCTTGCTCTGGTTTTCTTAATAATAATAGTCTTGCAGACAAAACTTTCTAACGAAATTTTCAGATGGTCTTCCTTCAAAAATAAAGTATCTCTACAATGATGTTGAATCATAATAATAATTATGCAATAAAAAAGGTAATGCCAGTTGTTGGCAATGGAAACTGCCTCAAACCCTATCAGGCTAGCTTAGTGCCTCAGACATTCCAGCTAATGTTCTGTCTCCAAGCAGTTGCTACTCTGAAGCCATCTTCCTTTTTGCAACAATGCCTTGCCACCTAAAGATCGGGCTGGTTTGAGTCTAAAGATAGTAGGCACTGACACTAGTACATGAGATTGTAATGCAAAGATTTAAAAAAAAAATCAGAATACAGAAACACATTTGTTAGGCCTTATTTGAACAAGATTTGGTCAAGTGTCACTCATTCACTTTAGTCTAACTCTAAATGACAGAATAAAAATATAAACTCCTATTCAGAAGTAAGGCTGAAAATAAAACAGTTTAAAGTTTTACATTTTGCTTTCAGAGAGGCACTGAATTTAATAGGATCCCAAATTCTGAAAGAACTGAACACCCAGCCCCAGGCAGACAGATCCTTCTAAATCTCACCAAATGTAATCCCAAAACAATTAATCGCTTCTGGAAATTTTGGTTCTTTGAATATATTTTTTACTACAGAAAAAAGAACATTTGTATGCACTGGTCTCTAATAACGATTTATAGTAGACATGCACCGGTGAGTATGTAAAGGCAAAGATGC